TATAATTCATATAGTTCTTTATATTTAAAAGTATATTATTTTGTGCAAATGTCTGTGTCTGAATTCTTTTATCTAAGATAGCTAACTCGCCCCCCCCTCCCACAAAAAATAAATAACCACCCAGTTTTCTCTTTTAGGGAAGAGATTTGCCTTCTAAGTTAAAAAAAATGAAATAAACATTGGGGGGCTTTTTTTTCTGGAATTCATCATATATTTAAAGAAATAATTAAACATAAATCTCACTAGGATTAAAGTTTACTTTTTTTTTTTTTTGTCAATCGTGGGTATTGAATTTTGGGCCTGAGCTCTGTCCCTCAGCTCTTCAGCTCAACGCTAGTACTCTACCACTTGAGGTACAGTGCTACTTCCGGTTTTCTGGTGGTTTATTGGAGATAAGAGTTTCACGGACTTTCCTGCCCGAGCTGGCTTTGAACTGTTATCCTCAGATCTCAGCCTCCTGAGTTGTTAGGATTACAGGCTTGAGCCACCAGCGCCCGGCAAATTTTTTTTTTCTATTAATGAAAAGTTAAATCAGTAGTAAGCAGGAGCATTCTTATAGGTCAAACAAGATATACACATTAAAAATAATTATACAGGGTAGAAAGTGAACCAGAGCTGGGGCTGGGAAGGTGGCTCAGTGGTAGAGTGCTTGCCTTGCATGCCTGAGGCCCTGGGTTTGATTCCTCAGCACCACATAAGCAAAAAGAAAAAAGCTGGAAGTGGCGCTGTGGCTCAAGTGGTAGAGCGCTAGCCTTGAGCTGAAGAGCTGAGGGACAGCACCCAGCCTCAGAGTTCAGGCCCCACTACTGGACCCCAAAAAAAAAAAAGTGAACCAGAGCTAACAAACTGATATTAGCTAATGTTGGCCTTCTAGGATGGAGAGATTTTTGCAGCCAAGTAAGAAAGGAAGAGCTGGTGATTAGGCTCAGCATAGAAGAATGGGTCAGGTTTAGCTTTTAACAATTGTTGCAGGTTGAGGTTGGTATTAAGGTAGTCCCCATGGATGGAGAGAAAAATCTGGTTAGAGATACCGAGTTGTAGAGCCTGCACAGACCCAGAGGAATGCTGAACTGGTCTAGCAATGCCCCTCAGCATTTAGAGAAACAACATAGCTAGTGTTGTCAGTCTTTGGAATTTGCATATATTAAAATCATGGTCCTAACATTTACTAGTTGTATATGCTGGAAAATTATTTAGATATATTGAAGCTTTATCTGTAAAGTGTGAATGATAGACCTATTTTATAATGTTAGGATGATTCAATGAGGTAATTAGATGTAGTGCTTGTGTGCTGTAGAGTCCATTCTTCAAGCAAAAAATGGAGAAGTCCTTCAAACAAATAAGTGAGAAGAAAGTTGATCCTGATAAATGTTGAGGGTGATGGAGATGAGTGGCTCATGGCCTAGTAAATGAAAAGACAAGTTGTGAATGATTGACAAAGGTAGAATCCCTGTCTTAGTTAATGGAGGGTGCTGTTTGCAGCCTTTTCTAACCATGTCCAAACTGGAGTATGATTAATACAGAATGCCTAACATTGCATCCTATTAAACTAAGTTAGATTTCCTGCTTACCACTTAACTATTTTCTTTTTACTTTGTGTTTAAAAAGCAAAGACATACCCAGTTGAAGGTGACTTACACCAATAATCATAGCTACTGAGGAAGCTGAGGGTGGGGATTGCAGCTTAAGGATCCTCAGGCAGAAAAGTCTGAGAAATTCTATCTCTAAAATAACCAGCAATGGGCTGGGAAGGTGGCTCAGTGGTAGAGCGCTTGCCTTGTATGTATGAAGCCCTGGGTTCGATTCCTCAGCACCACATAAGCAAAAAGAAAAAAGCCGGAAGTGGCGCTGTGACTCAAGTGGTAGAGCGCTAGCCTTGAGCTGAAGAGCTGAGGGACAGTGCTCAGGCCCAGAGTTCAGGCCCCACGACCGGACCCAAAAAATAAAATACAATAACCAGCAAAATGCTGGGCTGGAGACATAGATCAAATGGGAGAGTGCCAGCTAAGCAAGCAAGAGTCCCAGAGTTTAAATGTTGTTATTGATCAAAAAATGCTGGAGATATAGTTAATAGACATTGTTTCTCTCCTGTTTTTTCCCCCCTCAAATCCATTTGAGTTTTTTTTTTTTTTT